CAAAATAGCGACAATTACTCCCCACATCCATTTTCCAGGAAAGTGTTGGAGGCCTATATTTCATTAAATGGGACATGGAGCCCTTTTTTCTTTCCCATTCCTCAGTGCCTTATTTTCGTCAGAGTAGTCCAATCCACCTCGAATGCCTTCTTTATCTTGAATTGTAGCAAGCTTTTGTGGAATTATAGTTTTATGGGTGATTCTGAAATAATCTCCGGTATTTGCCGATAATTAGCGTCGAAAATGACGAATCTGGAGGACATCTGTTCAGCAGCTGCTAGAAATGCTCAGCCCTACTTTTGAGGCGTTTCTTTTCTCATGCCAATGGGTTACTCTTAGAGTCACGGATGAAGATAAACCGAGCCCCCTACTTACTGTACAACTGTCGAAATCCTATGAGCTTATTTCTTCACTCTTTCTTCGTGCGTTTCCCTTGCACCAAAGTCCTCAGTACTGCCTGTAGCTCTGGTTGACTACAAGAACGAGATATTAGGACATAGGGTATTCCCAGTATTCGTTCTTTGCTAACACGTGCACATTCGTGTTGTCGTCCCCCTTACTATTACGAAATGCTACAAAATGCGAGAAGTCAATTGAGCCGTAAAAGATATAGTAAACTTTGGTGCAAAAAGATTGTTCAAGATTTCGGCGTGTGTTCCAATATTGTATTTGGGTAGGTCTTTGCTTAAGTGTTGCTTCAACCGCTTTATTTTTTTGCTGAATATCAACGCAAAGCACTTGGACCAGACGGTATTCGGTGACAAATCGTGCCGGCTGGAGCACACCAGCCATTCCTTACAGTTTCGAACCTTCTCCATCTCCAAGTGCCGTTTTCCTGGATATTTATATAATCCCTACACCGAGTTTGTGGGCGACATAGCGGCCTAATCCGTCAAAGAGGATTCCAGTCGACCATAAGCCAACGGTGAGCCAAGCTACGTGCCCGGCCAACCACGGCTACTTTCTTCTGCTTTCGACGAAATCATCTGCTTGCGATCATCGTGTTGAGGAAGTGACCACGGGGTAAAATCCTCACATTCTTCTAACCATGGTTTTCTTGGTGACCGAAAGCTAGGTTAGTGAGTGACCACATCTTACAGTCATACAGTAACGCTTGCAGGACGGCAGAATCGAAAATATAGGCGCGGATTTCTTTCCTAACGTTCCTGAGTAGGCAGTGTTCAATGGAATAGAACGCGCAGCGACCGGCCCTTCCGCTCCTCAAAATCTCTTCTATCGGACCATGACGTTTGTTGATCTTTTGGCCCTGGTAAATTCATTATTCGACTTCTTCGATTTTCTCACCCCTTAATATTACCTTGGTCATCAGCAGGGCATTTGATCGCAGTACCTTCGTGCTTGATCGATTGATTAGCCGTCTGACTTAAGCACTGTTTCTTCCGAGCACTTGCAGAATGTCTTGTAGCTGACTGGCGTTTTCCGGAAACAACACCACGCCATCAGAGAACCTTAGGTGACTGAGCTGTTCACCACAGTTGATGTTGATCCAACCCAAAACACTCACATAATAATATCAGTATCACCAGAAAGATCTTTCACTTGTGGAATAGGTGACTGCGTAATCCATGCGATATCGGAAAGCGGTTCAAAGGTTTCACCTCGTTATTCCCAAAAAGCGAAATTTAATTTATTCAACTGTCACTATTATTTAACAGACTGAATTCTGCCCATTCGCCTTCCCGTCGTTGTCCTATTGATTTGCACTGGAAGCCTGGCTCCGCTGCTGTTGAGCTTTAGTTCACAAGGGAAAGAATAATGAATCTTCAGCCTGTGACCGTGGTGCACTGTGTCAGATCAGGTCGGATATTTTCACGGACAACACGAAAAAGATTCTTCAAAAGAAACATCGTATGTTCCTGGGCAGCCATGGGCGAAGCCATTGATTTGATATCCCTGACGCTGTACAGAAACCATGCGAAAGAAAATCAATCAGGATAATGTGTAGGAAAACATGGGTTGAGGGAAATCACTGATAAGCAAGTTGGTACTGTTTTGCTCCTGTTCATGAATACTCTTTAAATGTAAGCAACAGCAGAAAGGAAAGTGGTGTCCGGTTGGTCTTTCAGGCGAGCTTGAATTTTGTTCACTTACACCTAACGACAGTTGGTCACCTGCAAGAACTCAGGGAACCTACGATCAGAATGTCCACGTTGACCCATTCACCATGCATAATTAAACTTTCGTCAGCACAAGGTGTGGCTTCTGAATGCATCGGCAGTTTTTGAATTCGTCGTACCTTGCAAGTAAGCGTGTGAATTGAACGTCGTTCGTTGGTTGCACCAGTTTTTAATTCAAAAGTGCCTATGCGCAAACGTTTATCAACGATTGCTTAGTTTTTAGAATTTCATGCCTGTGGTTGCAATCTTGTTTATTGCTTGAACGAGATGGTCTCCGAGAAACCTGTATTGCGCGTCATGCTCAGTCACTTTGCAATCTTACGTCGCGTTTGCTCAGTCACTGACTTAATGCGGGAAAAATTTGTACCTCAGAGGGAAAAGCGTTCGCAGCGTACTTCACAGCATATTTCGTAGCATGCAGGTGGACCTCAAACACATGAAACGTTGACCGGAAACTGTTTGTCTGTTATGCTGTAGACTGAGGTATGTCATACCTCTTCGAATTAATATGTTACCTGGCTTGTCATCTTTCTCCATCTCCCTGATTTTCTTGCTGTACGCGTCATAATCGCTTGCTTGCCGTTTGACGGCATCATGAGCCGGTTGCTGCGCCTTCTTTTCTATGTTCATCATGTGAGCGCGTGTCGACCGAAAACCACCAATGAGAAAATGGCTGAAATCGACGATGGCGAACACCGAACGAGCGCCACGCTCCTGTTCGAGCCAATGGTACGACTGCTGACTGGCCAACTGGTGAAAGAGGAAGGCAGTAGAAGCGAACGTGAGGACACCGCGGTGTCGCAGCACATTAGCTACAGTGCCGAAGACCGGGCGAAGTAGCCGGCCGTCTTCGACAAAATAGGCATCCGCTGAAAAACCAGTATCCATCCATCACCAGCGGATTGGCTCGTCAACAACGACGATAAACGCCAACCGACGTAGTCTGTTTCTCTAGCATCTGGCAATCACAGCCAATGAATAAAAATCAATTTGTCCTAGCTGACTCTGTTTACCGCTTTAATCGGCGTGGACTCTAATGCCACTGAATCCACACTGTGTCGACAGACGTGCGCGACACTTGTCGCCAGTGTTCTTCGATCAGATGTCTTTGTAGATCACTGTTTCAAATACTAACATTTCGTGAAGCTGTTCAGACCTGTCTGTTTCAGTTCCGATACAGTCTGTTTGTCTACAAATTTCACTGAGGAAAGAACACTTTATTAGCATAGGAGATAATATGTGAATACCTGATGTTTTATTGCACACTTGCTTCGCCCCTAGATTCGCAGAGGTTCCTCAAAAAGGGACACAACTCCAGCGTACCTGACAGTCTGAATCGTGTAATTGTATCTGGCCCCATTCTATCGGTGAGGATGATGCTTCGTCCATCAGCAACGATGTTTCGAAAAATGTCGTCGTACTCGCTTGTTTTCATGAACGTTAGATACTAACAGAAAGGGAAAATTTTGGAATGAAGCAGAAGAAATAAGGTTTCTCTGAACGATTCATGACGTACAGACTTCTGCATCATTCAACATACGGAAATTAGGCATTGAACTGGTTGTTCAGCAGACCGAGAGACCAGAACTGCGACATTTAATGAGGATGTCACACAGAAAATACTTCACAGGCACACACTCCTGGCGACGCCAGAGCGACGGCCAAGGAGCCAGCTAGTGGATAAAATTT